TGTGTGTGTGTGTGTGTGTGTGTGTGTGTGTGTGCGTGGTGCAACGATTGGGTGCTTCGCTGGCACACATAATACATATAGCAATGTACATGTATGTGTATTGAAGACGTAAGTAAAAATTCCTGCGAGGAGAAGAATCATTTGTTTGTTGTTGTTTAAAAAAACAACAACCAAGTTTGCCTATCCCCGTGCCTGTCCCTCTCAGCCAGGGTTGACCCTGATCGACAGGCAGTGAGAAAAATCAGCCCGCCTCCAAAAAATCTAAATTGTGTTGCTGGGACCATAACTCACAATATTACTGTGATTTGAATTAAATAATAGGCCTACTCTGCAATCGATAATATAACATTTTTAATAGGTCGAGTAGGCCAATCGCTAAAATGGAATATTTTAATTGGTAGCCTACAACTATATTCATAAATTATTCTGAATAGTTTTTGTTTTCTTTTGTTTTGTCATCAACGCAGGCGTGATTTTACGTCACCACTGACACATCAATCAATATGAATATTTAGATCATTTAGGAGACGAGCTTCCGATCCTGCATATCAGGATCAACAACCTATGGGTTTAGGAGAGGAATACAACATATCCCAGCAGAAAGACCACTGTGCTCGATAAGATTTCTCCACACTCCGGAATCGAACTAAGGTGTTTGGCGTGCGACAACAAAGATTCTATATATGACCGCTACAGAACAGACGCCAGTTTGTCCACTCATCTGATCAAAGAGTCCGACTGTCTGTAAATAAAAACTGGACCATTCACTTTCACGATCGCTCTTTCTTTTCACTTAATTATAATATGCACTGATGCGGTTGGTGCTGTTTCAAAGTTTCAATACGCTATCAAATAATAATGATACTACTAGTAACTACTACTACTACTACTACTACTACTGCTACTACTACTACTACTACTACTACTACTACTACTACTACTACTACTACTACTACTACTACTACTACTAACAACAACAACAACAACAATAGATAGATAGCATCTGTATAGCGCAAATTCCCGCTCAACAGCAAGGTCTGTGAGTGTTAAAAACTACATTTTTACACCAGCAGACCT